CAGAACCCCACACTGGAACCTGAGTTTGTAGAAGAAAACTTTTCCTCCCAGCAACACTGTCTATATTTTTCTGGATAGACAAGAGAGTGTGTTCAAATAGATAATGCAATTTGGAAGCCTGTGTTTTGTTTGAAGGTGGGAAAATCCAATGTCTGCATATACACAAAGATTTCGCCCTTTGAACTTGTCTTGAAGAGTAAACTTTGGACAGTCATCCTGTACATTTAAGAACTGAGTGTAACTTTTTATTTCCTTTAGGGAGGAAGCTAAAAACCAGTTAAAGTGGATCTGTGCTTTCCTGACTTCCCATAGACACTGCAGTCTACAATCTTAACAGGGTATTAGGTGTGAATGGAACCAGCTGACCACCATGGGCAGCAGATGGGACTAGAACAGTGGGGATGATGTAGAGGAATCATTTATTGTACCAAACACTTCATTCTACCTGGTTTTGTGGTAAGTTCATAAAAAGAGGAAGAAGTAAGAAAAAGATTTATATACATATCTTTTGGCATTTAAACTGAAAGATTAAGTCAGAAGTTAATGAATGTGATTATATATAAGGAATGGGCAGTGAGATGTTCATCTCCTTTTTAAAAGTTGAATATAAACTAATAAATTTAGTAACAAATATTGTTTCAAGTTACATAAAAAACATTCTGGGAATATTCTTAAAGGTAGGTTTATTCATTCTAATGTTGGTGCTGTAAAAAAAAAAACAACTCCATTGTGGGGAGAACCAAGACAATTACATATGTATACACACACCATATATATATATTTCGTACACACACACACACACACACACACACACACATATATAGTGTTCTGGATAGAATTCTCTATATCTAATCTAATCTAATTGGATTGTATATTTATATATATAATTATATATATATATATATATATATATATATATATATATATATACACACACACAAACATACACACACACTTTTTATTTGAGGCTTTAAAATATCTTATTTAAAAACTTCTTATTCTGAGCTCAGTGCAGTAGGACAAACCTGTAGTCCCAGCAACTCAAGTTGATGAGGCAGGAGAATCCCAAATTAGAGGACTTAAGCAACTTAGTGAAACCATCTCAAAACTAAAAATTAAGAAGGGCTAGGAATGTGGCGCAGTGGTAAAGTGCCCTTGGGTTCAAACCTCCCCCTACCCCCCACCCCCCAAAAAAACACAGAATTTTTATTCTGAATTAAATTTCAAAGAAAGTTGCAAAAATCATAAATTCTATGTACTCTTCATCCAGTTTCTCCCAGGGGAAGTATAAAACCAACATTGAGATGTGTGGCAGTATTCCATGGTTCTGTCATTTTGACACATGGAGATTCACATAACCACCACAATCCATATATAGAAGGTGGGTGGATTAATTTTTTTATCATCTTGATTTTTAAAACTTCCTACTCTCTTATGATGCTTTTGTTTTCATTTTACAGATAATTAAAATTGCAGTGTGTGTGTGTGTGTGTGTGTATAATATATTCATTCATTCCTTCATTCAGATATTCTGGTCTTTTTCCACTGAATTTTTTAAAAGAGAGAAGTTAACTTTTCTTTCATTGCTCTATTTAAAAAAAAATGTTTCCTAATAGTTTTATATTAATTTAGTTTTGTTTAATTTCTTATATTTGGATTGTTATTCAAATGCCTATCTAATATTCCCTTGATTTAAAAAACCTTGTACAGCCGTGTACTGTTTTATTCTTTTTTAAAGAATTCTGAATTCTTATTCATTGGAATAAAAAATTTCAATACAGCAGAATAGGCTATAAAAGCTAATAATGACTTCTTTTCAGATATCCTTTTATATTCAAATTCATTTATTTTTCCATGTGAATATTTGTAAATATTTTCTCTTTATATTGCATTCAGCATGCTCTATATTTAATCACAATTGTATTAATATAAAAACTTCATATACATTTGTGCAGTTGTAACTTAAGTAGAGAAAACAGGCATATAAAATATTCAGTCTCAAGCTTCAGAACTTAACTTCTTATGCATCCAGCCATCTACAGCTCATTTCTCTTTTGCCTTCCTTCATTCTATTTTGCCATTCTTCATTCTATTCAAGAATAAGCTATAGCTCTCTCTATATACAATTCCTTTCTCAATAGACTCCCAGTAATAAACTTAAGAACTAGCACTGAAATGTATTTGCTATGCAGCAGAGACTTTCCTAAGCACTTTATACTTTTAACTCATATAAGCTTTCCAGCACCATTTCTTCATTTTCAAGCTAGGTAAATAAGACAAGTAGAAAACTGAAGTTCTCACAGTTGCTAAGTGGTGAAAGCCAGAGTGACCCCTGATGCAGCCAGTTCTACAGGCTATTCTCTGAAGGCCAGTCCAGTCAGTATGTTTTACAATTAAACAAATAGATATAAGCAGCATCCTTTTTATTCTTTCATATAATTACGTTTTTGTGACTGTTATAAATTACACATATTTTTAAGCTGGTTATATGAGGATCCTATTGACTTTTATCTGTTTTTTTGTTGTTAACTTATTTTTGTACCTACATTCAGGAAAATGTTAGCTGATTTTTTGGATTTTCTAAGTACATCAGTTACATCACCTGCAAATACTGGTGCTTTTCTTCTTTTTTGTGTACAAGTACACTGGCATGGAATTTTCAAAGCAATATTAAATACTAATTGTGTTTGAATTTGTTATTAAAGAAAATGTGACTAGAGTTTAATTAGATTGAAAACTTTTTTTTTATTATTGGTGCTGGGATCAAACACAGGGCCTTATACTTGCTAGGCAAGCACTCTATCATTTAGCTATGCCTCCAGACTTACATGTTTGAATATATTGTACTACTCTGACCTGATAGAAGCAAACTTTTCCTTAACAGTAATAGGCGGACCTGAGATTTTCTCTCTAATCTCAAATTTTAAGTGCTTTAGCTGAAGATCTTGAAAATATGAAAATGAATTGATGAATATGAAAAATTTGATCCAGTTTAATTGTATTTAAAGATATGGGAAACCTAAGTGTGATTTAGGGATTATAGGGAAAGGTGAATGATGAGACTTAGATGAAATGGTGTTTACCAGGCATTTATTTGGGGCACTAATTCTTGAACTTAGCCACACATTGGGAAATATCAGTAATATTTACAAATGATACCGATGCTTGGGTCCCTCTCCTAGGTACTCTAACATAATTGGTCTAGGGTACAGGATGAATACTAGGCACTTTTTAAACATTCAGATAATTTTAATGTATGGCCCAATTTTATAACTATAAATTTAGGAGAACTTTAAACCTATTTCCCATATTGTATAAATTCCAGTTTAGAGGTTTGTGCAGCCCACTAATAAAACATTCCAGTGTGTAGACTAAAGTTCATCATAGCATGTTGAAAAATATGCTGAGTGAAATAAGCCAGACACAAAAGAGCCAATACTGTATGATCCCCCTTATTTGAGTTAGTTAGAATAGTCAAATTCATAGAGACAGGGAGACAATGGAAGGCAGGGGCCATGAGGAGTCTTGGTTCAATGGGTACAGAATTTCAGTTTGGGATTATGAAAAAGTTCTGGAAATGAATAGTAGTGGTGATTGCACAACATCATATATGTATTCAGTTCTGCAAAATTGTACACTTAAAAATGGATAAATTTTGTTATGGGTATTTATTTTTTATAATATCTTTATTTTATTTTATGTGGTGCTGAGGATTGAACCCAGTGCCTCACACATGCTAGGCAAGCATGCTACTGCTTAAGCCACAATACCAGCTGTTATGTGCATTTTAATATGAGAAAAATATTTTTTAAAAGCATACCAGCGGGCAGTCCATGAACCTCCTTTCCCAGCTAAATTTAGAGCATTGATATCATAGGGTGTTGTAGTAATGACTATGACAGTTTGTTTATGGGACTGGAAGCGGGAAGTCCTCATGCTTTTTTTCAAGGAAGACAGCACATGCACTTTGCTAACAACTATTAGCCACTATAAAACATTACACAACTGCGGAGAGGTGAGCGTGGAGCTGGATCTGCAGTGTGCTACTCTGAAAGCCCTTGTGGATGGAGCCTTTATGTATGTATGTAAGTATGTATGTATGTATTTTTCTGTGCTAGAGATTGAACCCAGGTCCTTAAGCACTGTTGACAAGTGCTCTACCCCAATCCCTATGTGGAACCTTTTGAAGCAGATTAGAGGTGAGTTTTGTTCACCCTATACCTTCAGACCTACACATACACACCAAATAAAGCTAAGACATCAAAGCCATTATTTCTTATTAATTGACAGATTTATCGATAGTATGATTTGCATTTGACTTGGCAATGTTTGGGTGTTCCAAAGAATGAACTTAAGTGAAACATCTCTTTTTGATGCTATTTTTCATGAATAAAATGATGCCATTTATTAGTTTTGACTGGTGAAAAATGATGGATCATGGTGTCAAAGAATGGCCTTGCATTACTATAGTCCTGAGGTTTTGCCTTAGCAGAAGATAGGTGAGCTTCCATGGCTTGTTGTCCCATGCAAACAGTTACATGATAAATTCAAATTGGATGAGTATAGCAAATTTATATTCACAATGTCTAAATTCCCAAAAAATGTCAAGTCCAAGAGATCTTGCCAAGGAACAAATAGTTCTTTGGCAAGCAGAAGACTCTAGAACTGCACTGTCTGAAATTGTGCCCTTCAAATGTGGCTAGTGCTACTGAGGGTTTTAATTTCCTGTAGCAAATGAATACAAAGGTGGTTTAACCCATTATGTCCCATATTTTCAGATGTGGGCCTCCTATAAAACATAAATTGAACATCATTACCCTAAGTACATGTATGAAGACACGAATGGTATGACTGTACCTTGTGTACAACCAGAGAAATGAAAAATTGTGCTCTACATGTGTACTATGAACTGAAGTGCATTCTGCTGTCATCTATAACAAATTAGAATAAAGAAATAAATCTTTTAAAATGTAAACTGAAAAATCCATGCACCACTTATGGTAACTTTGGAATAATTAATTCATTTTATTAAATTGGTTAATCAAAAGCTTGGAACTTATCAAAGCAATACATGTTTATTCTTTTATAATTCTAGGCCAGAAATTCAAAACCAGTTTGACTGGGTCAACATCAGGTGTAAGCTGGGCCATTCTCCCTCTGGAGGCTGTAGGGGACAGTCTGTTTCTTTGCCTTTCCCAGCTACTAGAGCAGCATTCCATGCATTCCTAGGCTAGAGGCCCCTTCTTCCATCTTCAGAGCTAGCAGCATGGCTACTGGCTTCAGTGACCACATTGCTTCCTTCACTTCTGTAGTCAAATCTCTTTCTGTCTCCCTTCTGTGAGGACACTGCCACTTACTTTTAAGGCCTACCCAAATAATCCAGGATAATCTCCCATCTCAAGATTCTTAGTTTAATTACATTTGCAAAGTCCCTTTTGCCAAATAAGGTCCAGGGATTAGGATATGGACATATTTAGAGACCATTATTTAGTCTACTGCACTGAGAAACTGAATATTTAATTTAATTAGACCTACAGCTGGTGGCTATTATATTACCTTAGGAATCTTTATTTTTTATTTTATTTTATTATTTTAGTACTGGGGATTGAACCCAGGGGTGCTCTACACTGAGCTACATCCTCAGTATTTTTTATTTTAAGATAGGGTCTCATTAAACTGCTGAGACTGGCCTCAAATTTACCATCCTCCTGCCTCAGCCTCCCAAGTCTGTGAAATTGCAGGCATGTACCACTAAGCCTGGCTTCCTCAGGAATCTTTTCCTGTGATGTGGGGCCACATATTTCATCTTGTCTGATCGAGAAAAATGTTTTCCAAGGCACTACATTCTCCCACACTGGAAATAGTATTTTCATTTCTAAGAGTTTAAGTTCAATTCTGTGGGTCTTACTAATCTATGGAAACTGTGTCCCAAATTCCTTTTAAAAAGGACTTACATAGATATTTTTGAAGAGCAGTATAACATTAAACTCTGGTATTTTCTGCCACAGACCATCTAGAGCTGTTGTCCTGTGAAGATGGAAATATTATAAATCTGTGCTGTCCAATCTGGTCACCAATAGCCACGTGGCTATTAAAATTTAAATTAAAAATTCAGTTCACTGGTACACTATCAAGGCTTACAATAAAGCTCTAGTTATAGAGACAGTGTGGTGATGGTGTGAAGATACACAAATCACCTGATAGAACAGAATCAAGTTGAGAAATACATCTGCACACAAATTGTCACTTGATTTATAACAACTACAGAAGGGAAAGTGATTTTTTAAATTAACCTTGCTAGACCCATTGGCTGTCTACATAGAAAAAAAAAGTATCTGGACCTACCTCGACAAATAAAAAAGTTTTTCCTCAAAAGACATCATTAAAAGAATGAAATGATACATTAGTTTAATTTTACACACTAAAACCAACATGTCCATAGTCATCACATTTATAATTTATCAAAATGTATCCATTTATGATAGATTTCCTATCATTTTGTTGAATGTTTAGAATCTTTTAGAGCTTGTATCCTTCTTCATGCTGATAAAAAGTTGTTAACCTAATAAAATATATTTCTAAATTAAAAATAAAGAATGAGGGCTAGGGATATGGCTCAAGCGGTAGCGTGCTTGCCTGGCATGCATGCTGCCGGGGTTTGATCCTCAGCACCACATACAAACAAAGATGTTGTGTCCGCCGAAAACTAAAAAGTAAATATTAAAAAGAAAATTCTCAATAAATAATGCTGCAGTATACTTGGGAGAGGAAGTATCTTTAAAAAAAATAAAAATAAAGAATGAAATAGAACTCAGAATGAGAGAGGATATATGCAATATGTATGTGTGTATATATGTATATATACAGGGAGAAGAGAAAGGGGGTGAACAAGCAGGAAGAAACTCTTGGAGATGATAGATATGTTTATGGCAGAGATTAAGCTGATGGTTTCAAGGGTGTATCATTATCTCCAAACTCATCAAGTTGTGTATATACAATTATATTAGGTATATACAATTTAGTGTAGTAATCATACCTCAATAAAGTGATTCTTTTAAAAAGACACTTGCAGCAGATAAACAACCTGTGATATATTCATCCAGTGGAATACTACTCAAAAATGAAAAGGAAGGCATTAATGATATGGATAAATCTCAATACAGTGTGTTAAATGAGAGGAATGTTACAAAAAAAGAATGTGCTGTATAACTCCAGTTGTATGAAATTTTGAAACAGGCAAAACTGACCTACAGTGGTGGAAAAGATCAGCATACCAGTTGCCCTGGGAGAGTGGAAATAGGGGGCAGCATGAAAGACCTTCCAGGGTGATGGTATGGTATATATTTGATAGAAGTTTGGGTTACACAAGTAAGTGCATTTGTTGAACCTCAGCAAATGTTCACTAAAGATTTGTACACCTATTTCATGTACACTTTTCACTGAAAGAAACCTTAGCTACTGATTTCAAGTGAAAAACATGCTAAAATATTTAGAAAGCTAAATATGTATTGCTATCTACATTTTAATTTGAAATGCAACAACATTAAGATGGATAGAGAAAAGAACTGTCATTAAGCAAGTTTTATAAAATATTAATTAAAGAATCTCTGTGGTGTTCTTTGGTTTTGTTTTTTGGTGTTTTTTTTTGTTGTTGTTGTTGTGACTTTTGTTTTGGTACTGGGAATTGAAACCAGGGTGCTTAACCACTGAGCCATATCTCCAGTCCCTTTTTATATTTTATTTAGTGACGGGGTCTCGCTAAGTTGCTTAGGGCCTTGCTAAATTACTGAGGTTGGCTTTGAACTCACAATCCTCCTTCCTCAGCTTCCCAAGTGCTGGGATTACAGGCATGAGTCACCACACCCATCTATGTAACATGTTTAAATGTGTTCACTGTGTGAAATTTTCTAAACTTTGCTCAATATTTGCTATTTTTTATAATCAAATGTTAGGAAAATACAAAAAAGACGATCTGAAAAGTGGGCAAAGATTTTAAAAGACACTTCATAAAGTTATTTCTAAATAGCAAATAAATAAAATGAAAAGGTGCTCAACTTTGTCAGTCACCAGGGAGAAGCAAAATGACATAAGACTCAATTATCACCCACGAAAATGATCAAAATTGAAAACCAATAGAAGTTTCACTAGATTGGACAAAGGGAATGATAGGAAGGGAGGAGAGACGGGAATAGGAAAAACAGTATAATGAATCGGACATAACTTTCTTATGTTCATATCCAAATCACAACCAGTGAAACTCCACATCATGTACAACCCCAAGAATAGGAAGTTATATTCCACATATGTATGATAAGCCAAAATATATTCTACTGTCATGTATAACTAAAAAGAACAGATAAATTCTTTTTTTAAAAAAAATTTTTTTAGGTGTAGATGAACACAACACAATGCCTTTATTTTTATGTGGTCCTGAGGATTGAACCCTGATCCTGCCGGTGCTAGGTGAGTTCTCTACTACTGAGCCACAATCTCAGCTCCAGATAAATTCTTTTTTAAAAAAAATGGAAAACCAAATGGTGATGAAAAGGGTAAACATGTTGCTGAAAGGAGTATAAATAGACACAAACATTTTGGAAAACTTTAAAAATATCTACTAAATTTGAACATGATATATAACCTCTGATCCAAGAATTCCATTTCTAGGTTTATATCCAACAGAAATGCATTCATCATTCACTATGTTCATCAAAAGATACATTACAGTGTTTGTTACACTTTATTTGGCACTGGGGATTGAACCCAGGGGTACTTTTACAACTGAGCTACACCCCCATCCCTTTTTATTTTGAGATACATTCTTGATAAGTTGCTTTAGGGCCTCCTAAATTGCTGAGGCTGTCTTTGAACTTGCCTTTCTCCTGCCTTAGCCTCCTGAGTTGCTGGGATTACAGGCATGTGCCACTGTATCTGAAAGCAATGCTTTTAGTAGCTCCAAAATGTTGACTACTCCAAGAGGATCACTATCAAATTTGGCTAGATAAATCAATTGTATATCCACACAACGAAATCCAAGACAGGGTTTATATGAACAGAGGATACTAAAAATAAATAAATAAATAAACAGCATGAACCTCATGAACATAATAAATTAAACAAACCGAGAACAAAAGTTTATTTGTTGAAATGGCTCCACTCACCTACTGTGCAAATGCAGGGATACTACCCTATGCTCTTAAAAGTCAGGATAGTGGTCACCATTGAATGGGGGGGAGTGGTTAGTCCTGGGATGTAGTTGTGTTCTGTAGCATGAGTGTAATTAGAATTTCAGCAGACTGCATTTATGATGGTGTACTTACGTGTAGGTATGTTGTATTTTAATAAGAATCAGTCTCTGCCAGAATATGTAAGCAAAAAGGGGCCACAGAAGGATTACACATTTGAAAGACTTGAGAAGGATTTGAGAAATGGAATCAGATTTGCATTGGGAAGATTAATAGAGGATGGCCAGAGAGGAGTAACTAAGCTGTTTATAGAAGTAACCCAGGCAAGCAATCACGAAGGCTTGAATTAAAGCAAGAGTGATAGGGATGAAAAGGGCTGAGCACAGTGGATATTTAGAGAGTAAACAACAGGATTTGGACAGATAAATAATTCCCCCACCCCCATTTTTTTGGCTCGAAAAATGAGAATGATAACAGTTCTACATTGTTGGGCCTCTTTTGATGATTTATCGAATTAAGGGAGTTTAGTAGTGATCCTTGTTTACTATATAAGGTATTGATGGAAAGCTTGAAGAGAAATACTTCAATATGACAAAGTTTAGGCGAGTCTGCCTTCCCCCAAGCACAGGTAAAAGCCACCTCCCTGATTAAGACTGGTCAGCATGGATCGCAGGATGGAAGGCCAAGGTGAGGAAGGAGTCAGGACAAGTCTGAATCTGGGCGTGAATTAGGGCTGAGGTACCAGGAGGGACTCCACTAGGTCTCCATTCGGGTGGCCAGGAGCACAGCGAACCAAAGGCCTGTGTTGACATTTCCTCTCCTCAACAGCTCTGCTAAGGGGTGGACTTACGGGAAGGGCGGGGATTCAGGCCTAGGGGTGGAGTCGCAGCCGGAAAAGTGGCCAATGGAGCGCGAGCTTCCCCGTTCTTAACCAATTACGTGCACCGAGGACCACTTCCACCGGTGATTGGTGGAAGCGTCGCGCAGGATTCTCGCGAGCTGCAGGCGTGTGTCAAACTCTCGCGAGGGTGTACGTCTTGTCCCAGTCTTGACCGCTTGGTCTTCCTCCTCCAGATGTTTCCTTGTCTACGGTGCTTTGGACGCCTGTCCTCTGGCTCCAGACCGTGAATTGAGAGCCTCGAGGAGAGGTGGGCGCAGCCAGGGTCAGTGACAAGCCGCCTCTCCTCAAAACCTGGGCCTGAGGCCAAGGTGAGGCGCGGCCCGAGCTCGGGCTTTACCTGGCGTTCACCTGCCTTCTCCGCGGGGTCCCGAGAGACTCTGCTGCCACTTGGCGGAAGGAACCTGTAAGGAACCTGTAGTGCAGAGCCACCCGATTAGGCTGCACCAGGTACTACGCTCACTTCCGCTCTGAAAAGTTGCTGAGAGGAACATTTGAGTGAAATTTTATGGGTGAGCTTGTGGTCCTATTGTTAACACTTTTAAACAATTTTTTTTAGTTGTTGATAAGCCTTTATTTTATTTATATGCGGTGCTGAGAACCGAACCCAGTGCCTCACACATGCCAGGCAAGTGCGCTGCCGTTGAGCCACAGCCACAGCCCTTGTTCGCACTTTTTAGCGCTTGCAGTACAGTATACTACCATGCTGATGGAGAGTCACAGCCTAAGTTATTTAATTGATGGCCTCCTGTTCCCATTCTCTTTCTAGCTCTTGCTTTCTCTGCCAAATAAAAGATGTTCAAGTGAGCTAAAGCCACTTATATTTTGAAGTGTCTTTCCAGTGCAATCAAAGTAGTCCTAATGCAGATTCCTTCAGTAAAGAAACAATATGTCAATATGTACTGAATTCTTACATTTGGCAAATAACTCAAAATCATTTCTAAGTATCTTATATGCAATACCCTAAGTATTAATATAAGATTGTGAAGGTTCATAAGAAAATAACAACTGCTAATGAGGCTGGGAAGAAATTGGAACCTTTATGCATTGCTAGTGGAAAAGTAAAGAAATGTAGCTGCTGTGAAAAAAAAATTTCATAGTTCCTCAAAAAATTTAAAAAATTATGTAGTTCAACAATTTCAATTCCTGGTATATGCCCCCAAAGAATTGAAATCAGGGATTCAAACAGATACACTAATTACATAGTAACATTCACAATAGCCAGGGGGAAATGATCCAAATGTCTATCAACAATTGAATGGATAAACAAAATGTGGTGTACATATAAGTGGAATATCATTTGGCCATGAAAAGGAGGAAAATTCTGATACATGGTGACCTGGGTAAACCTTAAGAACATACTCAGTAAAATAAGCCATTCAAATATGATTCCACTTATGTGAGATAACTTAGAATAGAAAAATTTATAGAGACAGCAAAATAATGGTGGCTAGAGTTGGGGGAGGGAGAAATAAGGAGTTATTCTGTAATGATTAAAAATAATTTCTGTTGGGATCATGAAAAACTTCTAGAAATGAATCGTGGTGGTGGTTGCACAAAATTGTGAGTGTACACAGTGCCAAAAAATTGTATCCTTAAGTAGGTTTAAAGATATATTTTATTTTCTGTGTATTAATACACACTAAAAATAAATGAATAAATAAAACCCTAGTAGATACACTCAAATCACATCCAATCACTGTAAAACTTTTTTTTTTTTTGTAGTTGTAGGTGGACATCATGCCTTTATTTATTTTTTTTTGTGTGTGTGTGTGGTGCTAAGGATCAAACCCAGTACCTCACACATGCTAGGCAAGCACTCTGCCACTGAGCTACAGCCTCAGCCCCAGCCCCAGCCCCAGCCCCTAAAACCTTGTTTTTAACTGATTGTGGCATGTGCATTTTACAGCCTCTAAGTGAAATATCTATTCAAAATTTGTAAGATGCTATTTTTTAACATGTGTGTTTTTTCAACCACACTAAGCAGTATTTGCAGGATGAATGTGGGGAACAATACTTATGTTCCTAGGGACATAACCATACATATTATACAGACCAGAGACATCGATATCCATTTTCTTGTTATATATTTTGAAATAAATTATTTTGATATTTTCCTTTGAGATTCCCTATCTGTCAATACCAATAGAAAAAAATCCTAATTTCATCTTAGCTCATTCTAAATATACAGCCCAGACAAGGGAGAGTTTATATGTTTTTAAGGTGTATTTTTATCATCTTAGTTTATTTGGAGGGGGGAGTATGCTGCCTACTTATAATGAATGTACTTCCTATTAATTTGATAAGCAAGAAAATGCCAATTTATCCTTTTAAAGGTGGGAAAATAGAAAGCATTCAAGCTGAAATGGCATGGTGCCGAAGCCTTCATCAGCTCCAAAGATTATTTGTACTTTTTTTTGCTAAAGATTAATTGTGCTCTTCTGAAATTTTATTAATTTTTCATGTGTACCTTGGGAAATTAGAGGAACAGCTATTGCCAGGATAGATTATAATATTTCATCTGGCCACAATAGTGCTTTTAAAGCTAACTTTGTTAGGAGGTATGTGTGAAGATAACTACCTTCACCATTAAAAAAAAAAAATGGGTGCTTGTAATTTAAAGCAAAAAAAATCATATTAAATAATGTAAAGTTAAATGTATTTGCAAATGAGACACTTGAAATGTTAAATGCAGTCAGTAGTGACAAAAAGATGTCAAGAGCAAGTATTTTTGACTAGCACAAAAGATATAAAGAAGGTAGCTATAAACCAGGCATAGTCTCAGCAGCTCAGGAATCTAAGGAGGAAGATCACAAGTTCGAAGCCAGCCTGGGAGGACCTTGTCTCAAAATAAAAAATAAGAATAGCTGGAATATAACTTAGTGGTATAGAACCCCTGGGTTGAATCCCCAGTTACATACACACACACACACACACACACACACACACACACACACACACAAACTGTAAGGATAATATCCATGATAACCCATAAAGTGGTCACCCAGCCACCCACAAAAACCGTGAAAACACTGAGGGTCAAAAATTTGGCTGGGGTCATAAATTTTATTAGCTCAAATAGCCAGTTAAATGATAAAAATGGCCAAAAAGTTAAATAATTAAATTCATTCTGAAAGAAAACGTGTACATGAAGAAACTTTCTGGGAATATTATTTCTCATGCTGTTGTGGTTGATGATCTTGGGAGGCTTAACCAAAACAGCTACACATGGATCTGCCACTGGAGTATATATTCAGGACACAGTCCAACTGTTGGTCTTGGAGTAACAAGTTAGTGTCTTCAAATGTTTTTCACTAGCTTTATAGATACGTGATTTAAACAACACAAAGCCGGTAGAACTGGTGTAACAGGGTGGAACATGGGACTAGATGCTTATTTATTTATTATGGTTCTAGGGATGTAACCCAGGGCTTTGCACATACCAGGTAAGCACTTTATGACTGGGTTCAATCCTTAGCACCAGCCCTCTTTCAGACAGAGTGTTGCTATTAAATTGTGCAGGTTGGTTTTGAACTTGAGACCCTCCTGTCTTAGCCTTCTGGGTAGCTGACATTACAGAGGTGTGCCAATACACCCCAGCTGCCCTAGATATCTATTAGGAAGACCCTAGCAAACTACCTCATGCATTGCTACTTTTTTTCAAGGTAAGCTCATGTGAATGATCCTAGGCTACCTGCAGTCTGGGCACTTAAACTATATGGAAACATCTCAGAAGTAAGAGTAGCCATGTTTAAGCAGAAATATTCAGGTTTGTAATGAAACTTCTTTTTGAAGTCAAGGTAGTAGAAACAGGAATTTGATTCCATCAGCGAATATATTGAGGGTTGGGGCTGTAGCTTAATGGCAAAACACTTGTCTGGCACATGTAAGGCACTGAGTTTGATCCTTAGCACCACATAAAACAAATAAAATAAAGGCATGCTATCCATCTGCAACTACAAAAATAATATTTTTTTAAAAAAAGAATTTATTAAGAAAAAAGTGAACAGTTTAAGTAAAAATATGCTCTTCATTTGTACTTATCCCACCCCTGAAAAAAATCAGGACCTTATTTTAGTCACTTTTCTTTTTTTTTTTTTAAGAGAGAGTGAGAGAGGAGAGAGAGAGAGAGAGAGAGAGAGAGAGAGAGAGAGAGAGAGAGAGAGAATTTTTAATATTTATTTTTTAGTTCTCGGCGGACACAACATCTTTGTTGGTATGTGGTGCTGAGGATTGAACCCGGGCCACACGCATGCCAGGCAAGCGCGCTACCGCTTGAGCCACATCCCCAGCCCCATTTTAGTCACTTTTCAAAGCTTTCTAATCTCTATATAATCTGAAATGTCTTTTTAAATTTCTTGTTTAAAATGGTACTGGGGATGGAAGTCAGTGGTGCTTTTTTTGTTTATTTTACAGGATCTCACCAAGTTGCTGAGGCCACCCTGGTAATTATGATCTTTCCTGAGCCTGCAGAGCTGCTGGGAATAAAGGCATGCACCACTGTGCCCAGCTCTAAATTTGTTTTAAATAGATTTTAATATATAAACTGTTCACATATGAAATTTGGTATGAAAGGTAGGCAAATAGAGGTCAATGTTGAATCCTACTTTCTTTATTTATGAGAATGAAATTTCACAGGTTGAGTTTTCATAAGGCATTACTGCAGTTCATATATACATACACTTCATCCACAAAAACGGACTGAGTTTTGACCTTCACATTTTCTTTATTATTGAGTGTACCTGGTCATACCCTAAGCTTCAGCTCTAAATGCATTTATTAAAGGGCAGCTTTACTAAATAAGTGAAAAATGGTTTCAAATAGATAGAATTCTGATAAGCCAAGAAAAAAAATGCGAAAAGAATTTCAGGGGGCTGGGGTAGCTTAGTGGTAGATTGCTTGCACTTGTCTGGCACATGTGAGTCACTGGGTTCAATACTTAGTACCACATAAAAACAAACGTATCCACCTATAATAAATTTTTTTTTAATTAAAAAAATTTTTTTCAATATGTTTGCCCTTAACTTTTAAGGAGCTAGTTGAATCTCATGAGCTCTTCCTTCCCATAATAAATTTTTGAGTTCAACAATTATGAATTTCTTTCAGAAATTTATATTCTTTGCCCCAATTTCCTTTTTGGTCTCTGCTATACTGGTGTTTAAGGGTTATCTCCTGTCATTATTAGTATTCTTGCAACCTATAATATAAAGGACTTAAGTAAGCCCTCTGGTATCTGACCAGTTTAGTTTTATTAGTTAAAATGCAAAACTTCCATAGCAATCATGGTTTATGGAAAAAAATTTAATTGTCTGTGTCACCTCTGGGATACTGCTGACCAAAGCTATATGGCCCACAAGGAAAAAATTATAGTTTTTTCCTATTATCTTGTTTCTATTACTAAAATCTTTTAACTTAGTATTTTATACTGTTTAAATGAAATTTGTTAAAAGCATACATAAAATGACATTCTAATAAACTAAAAACTGACTTTTTTGATGTAGTTGCTTATTCTGCATTTTACCCACATGCTTATGTCATTATTAGTCTCAATTTTAAATTCACCACCCCACGTGGCTTTTTTTCAAAAATTGACCCATGAATAGATAAGCTCTACTTCTACCCTTCCATTGGTATTAATACAAATAGTCTGGGAGGTATTCTGGTGTGGTAGTTTTATTCCCATCAAAAACATTTGCAATCTTAAGCTTTCATTTTGTTAGTTACCTGTGGTTGCTATAACAAATTGCCACAAACTTGATGGGTTCAAACAAATTTATTCACTCCTTTCTGAAGATTAAAAGTCTGAAAGCCAAGTACATGTTGCCTCAGGAGGGTCATTCGTTCCCATCTTCTAGCTCCCTCACTCCAAGACCAGTATCTTCAAACATGTGTTTTGTCTTCATGACTGCCCCCTATATGTATGGAATCTCCCTTATGAGGGCACCCCCCCCTCCTGTTGATCCTGGAATATTCAGAGGTAAAATGAATAGATTTTGAGACCTAGAACCTAATCAGTCCATCCTACTTTGAATGGGATGACTGGGTGTTATCTATAGGTAGGTATGGCATGGTTGGAGGAGGTGGGTCACTGGGGACATGCCCCAGAAGGGAACATCTTCCCTGCAGCCCCTTCCCTCCCTGCTTCCTGATCACCATGATATTCTGCCTCACCTTGGGCCCATAGTGATACAACTGATTGATCATGAATGAAATCATAAGTCCAAAGTAACTTCTTTTTTAAGCTGTTCTTATTGAGTAGTGTATTTTGGTTACAGTGATGAAAGCCAACACAGGCTTTGTGATTGTATTTAGGGCCCACTAGGATTATCCAGGATAATCTCCACATCCCCAAACCCTTAATCTAATCCCATCTGCAAACCAGCTAACATTTTCAGGTTCCAGAGAAACCTGTTAATTCAGCCTACCACACTATCTAGTTCTGATATTTTCTGAGAAATAAGATGACTACACTACATAATCTCTACAAGAAGTGTACTCCATCTTTTGCTGTCTGTAGCCACACAGTTACAGAGCTCTTGAAATGTAGGCAATGAGTTATATGGTCACAACCACTGTTTTGTCTACTTTGTAAATAAAGACCAAAGCTATTCTAGTATTATATAAATACTAAATACCGATATTGTGACTTTGTTCTCTTTAATTACCATATATTATAAAAATGAGTACCACTAATATAATAAAATTTACTGAGCATTTACTACTGACATTGCAGTTATATGTATTATGTATGACTAGTTTTTAGAAATGAAGATTAAGAAGTAACTTATAAGATCACATATAGGGATTTGAACCTAGGCTCTTAACATTGCTGCTCCTATGAGCAGGTGACTCACCTGAATGCCATATATAATTCGACTAAGTGAATTCATAATGATGCTGCTCCTTGTAGTTGTCAAGTTGGGCATAGGAGCCAAGTTAAATATTTGAGAATGTAGAGTATGCCAGGTACTTAACTAGACCCTACAAATATGGTAGGAATTTAGATAAACCTCACCTCTAATAGTCCAGGGCCTATAAAGTAAGGGGCAATGAGTCAAGTATAGATCTAACTATACCATGAACAGTTCCAAATGTGGTAAGGCTATTATAGACTGCTACAGAAATTCAGATCAAGTGCACTTTTATAGACTGCTACAGAAATTCAGATCAAGTGCACTTATGTGGGGGAAGGAATGTTTGGTCAGAGAAAGGTGAAAATATGACCTTGCTCTTTATACTTTTCCCTCCATTTGAGATGGTCTTCCCCCAAATATATAAATGTATCCTAATGGTACTTCCCTCATCCCTCCTCCTTCAGGTCTCCCACATAGAGCCCTTCACCTGCCAGCCCAATCTGAAATAAAAAACTCCTTCCACAGAAATACTTACCATTTGAGGCCCTTACCTCCATACTTAACCATGAAAACCACGTCTGTTACTCATTTCTATAATTGTGTCACTTAAATAATGTTACATAAGTGAAATCATACCATACGTGGTGTTTTGAGATTGGATATCTTTATGTAGCACAAGTCTTTGGAGATATATCCATGTTGCTGCTTGTCAATAGTCTTTTCCTTTTCATTGCTACATAGTACTCTATGTTGTGGATGTACCTGTTTATTTAACCATTCACCCACTGAAGGACATCTGGATTTCTTCCAATGTTTGTTACAAATAAAGCTGATATTTGGGGGGTAGGGGAGATGGCCGCGGGAAGACTTCCACTTAGTGCATATGCCTGTACTTACTGCTCTTCCTAGCAATTTTGACCTGCCTATACATATCGAATAAATTTCTGAAGACTTTTTATAAGACCAGACTTTTAGAGTATAATATGGAACATAAATCTTAGTAAAGCCAGAAAAATGTTAGAAGTAGTAAGAATGACTCCAAAGTAAATATTAAATACCTTTATTTTAAAGTTTCTGGAAAATAGCTCATTTGTATTCAGGCTCATTTAAAAAAAAAAAAAGTCAACTGCTAGACAAGTAAATTGGTTACAAGGAGTGAATGTGTTCTGGGCTGCATGCACCTTTGCAGACCATCACATTTCATCCCAGAAACTTTCTCCATAGCCATCTAATGTTTATATATTCTAGTGATCTAGTACCACTGTGTCCTTTAAATCTCCTGGCCTTTTTTTTTTTGAGTACTGGGGATTGAACTCAGGGGCACTCAACCAATGAGTCACATCCCCAGCCAGTTTTTGTATTTTATTTAGAGACAGGTTCTCACTGAGTTGCTTAGTGCCTCACTTTTGCTGAGGTTGGCTTTGAACTCACCATCCTCCTGCCTGAGCCTCCAGGATTATAGGTGTGTACCATCATGCCCAGCTTAAATCCCTTTTTTTTTATTTTTAGTTATTGATGGACCTTTATTTATTCATTTATTTATATGTGGTGCTGAGAATCGAACCCAGTGCCTCACACATACTAAGCAAGTGCTCTACCACTGAGCCATAACTCCAGCCCCCTCTTTTTTTTTAATATTTTTGTTTTGTTTTTGGTGGACATAATATCTTTATTTTTATATGGTGCTGAGGATTGAACCCTCCCTCATGCATGCTAGGCAAACACTCTACCACTGAGCCACAGTCACAGCCCCTAAATCCCTTTTATACCTCATCATGGTACGAACATTAGAAACACATAACATGCTGACATGTGCTCTCTTTGTGGGAAACTAGGTTTAATGCAATTAAATACTATCAAAAATCTTATATTTTTAACAGCTCTTTTGTGGCCCTTTCCACCACAAAACTGGCACAATCTCTTTAAATGTTATTTTTTACTGTTATACTAGAATACCAAATTTCAAGGGATCTCATTAGTTACAAAGCCAGTTACAAATGTGAGGTTCTTCATTCAGAGCCACTCTTCTGACAAGTTCCCACCTAACCCATTTTTTTATCTGTAAAATGGGAGAATAGTACCTACACTTCAGTTGAGAAAATTAAGTGAAAGGGGTACATGAAGCACCTGCCACAATGTCCTGCTACCACAGGCACAGTCTTACTGTTCTAACTCCTGGGGCAGGGCAGAGACAGTTCTACATGTAAGAATATTTCATGTCATTAGAGGCACTTCCCTATCCTAACTGTAGAATAATTGATGTTGTCAGTTATTGAAATAACAACATCAGAGCATCCCAGCATCTATGGCTTGTACTTCTGTTTTTGACCTCTAAAAAGAATGGAAACTTTTAAAATGATCTTTTAATCAAACAACTTTTAGTATTTTTTTTCTCAGTAAATTTCTAGGACAAGCATTATGTACATGTGTTTTACTCTTTTTGATTTTTTCCCACCTTCAAAGAAAACCAAAGTAATTACCCTGAACAAGAATATCAGTAGTCAGTCTTCTTCAAACACAGGAATCACAGCTGGAGGTTAACCACTAGACATATTAATAAGCACCATAAAGGCCTATTTCAAATGTACAAGACCTTGAGGCTCCCCTGTAGGAATACCTCCTGCCAACTCCTTTGTCCCAGAGGTGGAAAAGGAAAGATGAAGGTGAACCCAGATGGAAGTTATAGGAAGGAAGGTGGGATAAATCTGGATGGAAAGATACTTTGATGCTCTACCCAGAACCATATATAATAAGTTCCTAAAATGGCTCACCAAAATGGTTTTTTGGGCTATCAGGCCCCTTCCTGCATGGCAGGAGTTCAATCTCTTCCCTTGATGCATTTACTCTTCCCTTCTGTGATTGTGTGACAGTGTCTACTTTATGCTTTGAATGTAGCCCTTGATACTTTGCCACTGCAACTTATTTTTAAAATGGACAGGTTTTTCTTCCTTTCTCCCTACTCCTCCCTAATATCAGAGGAAACAGGATTACATTTCTTCCCCATTTTAGGCAGTTATCTGTCCTCGAGTACACATCCACCATAGGAAGAAATAATCTAAACTTAAGGGATGATACCAGAGATCTCAGAAATGACTATCTCCTTACTTGTCTCCCAAATTAACAAGTTAATTTCAACTCCAGAAAACACAAGGAATGTAGCCTTTGAATCACCTCTTTAAAAGCCCCATGATGCCTGGCAGAATCACAGCCTCTGGAACAAGAGTGTTTCTCCTTTGCTAGCAAAGCAATAAAACTTCTTTTTCCTTTTTCTCAAAACTGTTTTCGTGTTATTGGATTGGCATCCTGGACAAGAACTGAGATTTCAGCAACAAAAGTCCAAGGATTTTATTCTTAAAACTTTGGCAAAGTGGGAATCTAGTTGAAAGGACATTCGCAAAGTCCACAGACCACACCATTCACACCAAATCTCACATAAGCGATTTATTGTCAGTCTCATAGAGCAAACCTGCAAGACTGTCCCTCCAAGGAGAGCAGCAGTGTCAACACTCACGAGGGCTTTATAGGCTGCAAGAGGAATTTCACATGCCGTTTAGGGGTTGCAAAATGGGCTGGGGTGGGGCTGACCTTTTAGCAGTTACATATTTTACAAGAAGCTGATCAACATTGTCTTAGGAGTTC